TCTCTAAGTAAAATAATGAAAAATACTCAAATTTTGGCACATTCGCTTGATGGAAAAATCGAACAAGACGAAGATAATCGAAATAAAATCAGAGAAATCAATGAAAATATTGAAAAAATTCGAATTGTTCTAAATCGACATCGTATTATGAAATTGATGGATGAAAAAATGAAAAAAGATCTTCAAAATTTTGAGAATGAAATCAATCAAATTGTATCGAAAGCTATTTTGAATGGACTTCAATCTATTGAATTATTTATCAATGTAAATCATTTTCTTGAAGCTGAACAATATATGAAAAATCTTGTACGTGCACAACGTGAATTAGCTGATTATTATACATCCAAACTTGTAGAAAACAAAATAGAAGAATTAAAAACAAGATTAAGTACTCTAGCTAATGACATCTTGCAACGTTATGATTTTGAAGATATTAACAGTTATACGAAAAATCCACCTAGAGATCTTTTAGATCGATTAAAGAAGGTTAGTTCAGGTGGTTATGCCAGATACACACAAGTTTATAGATCTTTAATGGAAAAAATTCGAGTAAATTTTAGTCTAGCTATAGATCAAGTGTGTGATAATTCTTCGAGAGACCGCTCTGCAAAAATACGATCAATCAAACATGCTTTTTACTTTTTACCAGATGAATTAAAAACAGTATTTCAATTGCAAATAGATCAATTGAATCAGTTGAATATCAATGAACAGCAATTGATAGAGTTTGATTAGAAGAGATTTGTGTAAAATGAAGATGAAGACGAGAATGTCAGAGACATTTGCAAGTATTAAAAAGAATAACATGATTTAAGAAATGATCATTACAAAGCACAGTTTTTTTTAGCAACTACGGCAATTTCCCAAATTTTAAATAAGATAAATATGTTTTTCGTGTCAAATAAAAGGAGCAAAGCATAACATATCGACAGATATATTTTTTATTTCATAGAGAATTTGATATTGCACTTTTTAACTAAAACATGTAATTAATAGAACAGTTTATGAGACGAATTCTGACTGTCAACTTTTGAGTCAAACGTTTGTGAATTCGCTTTTCCTTACAAAACTAATGTGTCAAATCTTTGTATTCTTTCTTTTTATACTTGTATGAGTTGCATGACATGTCCAATTGTTATTTATACTAAATTGTTTTATTTGATGATTTTGTTCGTTTTTTTAATTTTCTGGAATATTTTAAGATATTACACTTCATTTTGTCGATGTAAATTTCTTTTTTTTTGTTCATAATAAATTGATTTCAAGTATTCTCTTAGATTTTGTCATCATCGGCGTGACCAACATTTTTTGGTCAAGATCACGTCCCGGTCCCAATCATTGCCACCGTGATCGTGAGTCACGACGGTCACGCCAGTGTTCAGTTGCGAGTGTATATTGTATTGATTCCATTTCTTTGTTTTGAAGTACTGTTCCCCACCCCCTCTCCTCAAGAATAAAAGGGCAATGGCCTTCTCTTATAGAAATTTATAACGTTCTTCCAAAGGTGGTTCTTTAATGCGGCCTAGTGTTTCAGTAGAATTTTCCAAGAAAACCAAACGTTTTTGAAAAAAGTTTCTGGCATTCAAAAAGGCATTTTTAGCCACCAAGTACCGCAAGAGTAGCTTTTTTACAAGAAAAAAAGGAATTATAGGGTATATGTGTGTGTGTGTGCATCAATAAAAGATTCGCTCCAACACCCAACCTTACCGACACCGACACCCACATCCACACCCTCGTTTGCATCAAAGTGTCCCAAGCATCATCATGTGGCCTCAACGATAGCTAATGCAATGCCACTTCACCTGTGTGTTTTGGCTTTGCTTTGTTTTTTTGAAAGTTGGAAAAAACCCACTGATGACAGCCAACAAAGTGCGCCATTCTGCATTTTCTTATCAAATTTGTGCTATGCAAGTGAAGGCTGCTCTCGAAGTATGCTGCATGCAAGAACATCAATTCTCGGTGAAAAAAGCAAAAAAGAACGCAAATATGTCAAATAACTTCTCTCTCTCTATAAATGACTCATGTAACACAAACAGCATACTATATCGCTGCCAAAAACTAAGGTAGATTTCTTGAGCGTTTTGTGATCGAACAGCGACAATGGACTATTTGTGTTCATGAGTCTAACAAAACATATCGAAAATATTTTTGCCAAAATGGTTTTTTCTTTGTCTATGGTGGCGATTATCTCAAGAAAACGAAGTAAATCTTGATGAAGTCGATCAAATAGTACTAGGAAGAATTTACTGGGAGGTGTAGTTATTTCTATTGAACATCAAAATTTTACGTTGTACACACACATAAAGAAAAAATGGAATTCAGTTTCTTCCATAATTAACAAGAACAAAAGAAGAAATGCAGAAAAAGCATATTGATGTCAGTCGAACGATGCTATGAAAGTCGACAGTCAAAACAATTGTAATTCTTTTTGCCATTGCATCTCCATAATACCATTATGAGAATGAGTGCTGGTTTGATTTTCCAACTTGTGACGTCTCAAACACATTCAACTATTTCTTTTCACTTCATTGAATCTTCAAGTATTTTTTGCATCTCTTCGCCTTTCTTCAAGTTACTGCTGCTAAAAACATTGTGTGGTTGTAGTGTACTCAATCTAATATCAACATTGCGAGGAAGTTGTGTGGCTTGTATGCACCGAATGTGAGAGAAAATGAATATATTTATTCAGCACATCGTTCATTGTCACACATATCAGTGACAAAATCACGAAATATCAGCAAAATATCAAGGTCAGTGTGGATCTTTGTTCAAACTGAAATCCGACACAAGACCTGAGTATTATATATATTTTTAGAAATCTTCAAACCTATTTCTTAAAACTTCTAGAACGCAGACTTTTACTTCTAACACCTTAAATACAATTTTCTTATTCGAACTGAAAAGTCATCTGAAAGATACGGGACACTTTTTCTCTATTGTCTGTGTTTGATGGTTAGGATTCTTTAAACTGTCCATAGTAAATAATCAGCCCTTGCACACTTTAGAAAATTTTCCATTAACTTTTGAAGAGTTGATAACAGTAAGGGTACATGAAAATGAGAAGAATAGATTATTCTATGATTTCAGCAAGCGGGTTTATCAAGCTACGGACAAGAGTAAATTATTTTTTCAATTCGAGGAATAGGGTAGCTTGATCTACGACTTTGACAAAAGGGTTCACTATTCTTCCCACAAAGGTACATCAGAACCATTTATTATTCTACGCAGTAAGATATCTTACTTTGCATTTTCTTCCGACGAGTTTCGTATTCGAGACGCACAGGCAGATTATTTTACGGCTTTTTTTTAACGATATAGTCATTCTTATAGTAATCCACTATCTTATGAGAGAAATAGAACAAGACAATTTAGTTTAATTTTCTTTCCTTCTGTTAATTAACGGAATAATTTCAAATCCCCCCCCCCCCGTCCCGTCAACTATTAGGCAACCCTAAACGTATCCCCTCTCATTTTTTTTTGCATAAAATAATCATGTTTCGCGAGAAATGCTCAAATTGTATAATTTTTTTGATTTACTATGATAAACTAGATTAATGCATGAGATTCTCATGACACATATCAGTGATTGTTGATAGATCTTATTTTAAATTTTAAGAACCCTTGTCAAATTATAAAACTAGATAGAAAAAAAATGCATTGCTCATTATTGATAATTTTGCACTCTTTCTTTTACAACTTGAAGCCGTCTGTCTCCTGAAATATCGATTATCTAAATAAATGGTATTAGAATTAGAAAGAAATAAGAGCTGCACTTTGGTTCAATTTATATATAAGGCAACCGCCTCGTATCTCTAAAGTCTTCTGGAAAACCACGTATGTTCCTATCAAATGCACGCTCTTCCAGTTGATGAATTAGACTTAGTTCCTAAATTGATTACTAAGGTTTTTCAAAGTAGTTATGGAGTAGTGTTAACAATTTGTTCTCTTGTCGTAATGTCTCTGTTTTAACCAGTGATTAAACGCGATATATTAGAGACTCTTCCATACTCTTCCTCATTATGTGATTCCTGAAGCATCCATTGTTCTCCACCATCTCAGCACAGAAGCGAACAAAACATGATTTAATTTGATTTTTTCTTTCTTCCTTTAGTTTTCTCGATCATTGACACCTGGAGTGAAATGGAATTGAAAAAATAAATTGACTTTTCTTCGCTTCAATTAGTTATTTTGATACCTGCCGATCATTCTACGATAAAAGTTGAATAGTTTACTTTACTTTCATTTTCTCTTGCTTCATTTAATTTCCCTATTCTTGGCATGCACTTTGTGAGAGAAATAGAATCAGAAAAGTGACTGTCCTTTTTTGTTTTCATCAAGTTATTCTGAGAACTATTCAGCATCTTGTGAAAATAATCGAATAAGTTATTATAGTTCAATTTTCCTGTCGTTATAGTCATAGTTGTTCATAATCTTATGAACAAAATCAAATAAAGCAGTTTAGTTTAGTTCCTTATTCTGTATATATGTCTGCTTATAGTTGACGAGCATCTGATGAGCAAAATGGAACAAGTTTGTTTACGTTTATTTTATTTCTGTTATTCACTTTTCAGGCAGGTAATTAATCAATTTTTATAGATGAAAATAGGTTAATAGAATTCATGTCACTGTTATTTTTCTTGACTCAGTTATAGTGATAGTGTTCCACCATTTTTGGAAAAGAATCGACTAATTTATTTTACTGTAATTTCCTTCGTCTTGATTGATTTCTTACAAAAAAAAAGGTTTTTTATACGTTGCACTTTCACTAATCCTTTAAAGGTTCATTAATCTATGGATTTTTTAAAATGTGCACCTTCATTCACCGTATCCGCATAGCCTCATGATAGCCACCAACTATCCATCCTCTCATTTTTCAAACAGAATAAATGTCTCATAAAATGAGAAACAACTCAATATAAGAAACATATTGATTAGTTATTGAATCAATCACTTTAATCTGATTTTTTTCTACTTTGTCATACACAGTCATTGACGAAAAGATGTCTGCAACAAAGCCAAAGCCAAAAACTAGTACTTCCTCAGTTTCAAAACACAAATCAACAAGTACCGTGACAATTTCAAAAACAAGTAGCGGAGGAACATCAGCATCAAAATCTCATCCATTTGAAAGTATAGAATCAAAAAAACAGTTACACACCACTGAACCTATTGTTAAAGACTCTGTCACCACGACGTCGACAACCGCGAAACCAAGTAAATTCTATTTTTCTTGTCGAAACAACGAAATTGATACAGTTACTTCATTACTACCAAAACTTACACTCGAAGAGATTAATCAGATTGGACCAAATGGCTCTACAGCTCTACATGCTGCTGCTTACTATGGAAATAAGGAAATAGTCAAATTGCTTTTATCGAAAGGTGTTCAACGCATGATTAAAAATATGCATGGTTGCACACCATATGATGAAGCTAAGACTGGAGATATAAAAAAATTATTTCAACGTGTGGAAAGAGCTGGAGCAGAATCGAAAAGTCGATTCGCTGGTGACAAAGGTCCCTCATATGAATGGATATTCGTCAAGAGTGATCCTTCGAGCTATGCTTCCTTCAATCGTGAAAGTTTGTGGAAGTGTGGAAACGACGAAGAATTTGATCGCTTATGCCGTGGAATTCAGCAGTAATACATCAACGAGAATGGTCCATTGGCCAATGTAAAACATATTGAATCAGTTCGTTTGTTTATCAATAAAGCAATTAAAAACAATGATCCAACGCAGGTTGTTCGTGCTTATACAGCAGAGACCGGCTTTTACCATCGAGTTAACACAGATCTTGCTCAGCTGCCTACTCATTGGTCTGGAAGCAAACATGAACGAAATATTGCATCGATAATGATATTTCATCCTGTATTTCAAGGCTTCTCGTTTACAGGTGAAACATATCGTGGAATGATCATGTCATTGGAGGATCTTCAGGACTACGTCGTTGATACTGTGTTTATGAATAAGACATTTCTGAGTACATCAAAAGAACGAACACGAGCTGAATCGTTTGCCGTATCAGATGAATCTTCTACAGTTTTTGGAGTTGTTTGTAAATATTTGATCAAGCATACTGGTACAGCTCTAGCTATTGAAGATATCTCGGAATATCCGTTCGAGAAAGAAGTCCTTATACTGCCTTATGTTTCATTCAAAGTGCAAAGTGTTCGAAAATCAAGTGGAAAAGTTGATGTTATTACAGAAATTCATGTGGAAGAAGAGGATCAAGTGAAGTGGACAATGAAAAAGTCATCTAAAACGTCACAGATACATACCTCAGTCAAAAAGAAGATAGGTGGAAGTCAAAATGATGACGATGACAGCTATGCAAAAATGTTCAAAGATTCACAAGAAAAAGGAAAAATCGATCCAGCTGATCTAGCCAAATGGAAAAAAGAAAGTTTTGGAATTGATCCTGAAACAGATACTTATGCGAAAATATGGAATGATGCGAAGAAAGGTAAATTTAGTAAGAGTGATTTGGCAAAATGGAAAAAAGAAAGTGGTATAGTTACAAAAGGTGCTGATCATGATGATTCAGATTTAGAAAGTTACGATGGTGAAAATGATCCAACTATTTTTACGGCATCAAATGAACAAAGTTATGCTACCTCGAAAACGTTCAGTTCAAAACATCCATTTGATATGAAAGACTTGATGGCTAAGTGTAACAATGATAGTAATGATTAGAATAGAACAATACGGCAATGAACTCTTACCAAAACGCTCATCATATTATTTACACTGCCGATTTTTATCTTCTCATTTGCGAACATAAACTCAAAACTCAGCTGCTCTTAAATTCAATTTTTTTTCGCTTTTTAAATTCAAATTAATCGAATAGAATATAATCTTAAGTCTAAAAGTTTCGTTGTTTTAGTTCTTAAAAAATTACTTGTATCAATTTTAGAAAGTTTATTTTATGACGGGAATTATTTTTTAAAAATTAATCTAAAATTTCAAATTTCCGCTTTTTTAAATTTGAACACATAATTTAATTGTCATTATAACAGGAAATCAAACATCCGATGAAGGCAAACGTATTGATATCAAAGAATTTATACACAAAAAGAAAAATACAGAAAATGACATTCAAAAAAACATGTGTTTCAAATACGAATATTGATGAGAGGCTTCTCTTCACGAACACTATCCCATCCAGTCACCTTACACTCACAATAAAAACTAAATTGTTACTCTAAATTATGATAAAACTTAGAAAATTTGCTTTGACTTTAATAGAAAACCCTTTTTAGCTAAACCTAAATCGATGAACCTTACTCCTACGTTATGAGGATTAGTTTATCAATAACAAAACAAAAACAATCCGTTAGTCAATATTTATCCTAAATATTTAGTCCGTTGTCGCCATTTATTTTAAAATTTAGATTACTTTCAAGACATGTTAATATATACATATAATTTTATCTCATCTAACACTTGATAATTACTATTTATAGAAAAAGCGTCATAGCATTCTGTATACTCTGGACATTTTTTTGCATATTACTTTAAATCTACCCTAGTCAAAAGCGTTTTTGACTAAAAGCTCACATTCTCTATATGTTTCACCACATTCTTTCAGATGATCAATTTGTATTGAATAAAACTTATGCCATCAACAAATTTCAGTAGTTTGAGTTAAATTAGAATAATATTTAATTCAATTTTTTAAAAACAATTTATATCTCATATGCCCTCTTATTGATCAAATCTTTAAAAATTAACTATCAAATTTAATCGTTTTACGCAAAATTAGTAAAATTGTCAGTTTTATTTAAATCAACCGAAAATATAAAAACATATTAATTTACTTTAACTTAGTTTTCTTCATTTTCACAAATGAGAAGTTGGATCAAAACAAGAATCGGCATTTTCTTGAGGAAAAACTTTTCACTAATTTTGTTCGCTGACCATCAAGTTTATTGAGTGCGAAAAATAAACTTCCACAGTAAATCAGGTAACGTGATGTTCTGTTTGTTGAGTGTATCGAGTAATGGACTGAATTCCATAAAAATATAGAGGGTTTTTAAAAGACTCATGAGAAGTTTGACTAAGATCATCATGATACTGTGACTCATCGCAGCAGTCGATAGCTATATGGGCAATTTGTGGTAGATCGATAGCTTCAGGTGTGACAGCATCACTCAATGCTCTTGATAAAATCACACAAATATGTTGATCGTCGTCGCTCGACTGCATATAAAGCTAGACATACGCTTCTTCGTTGAAAGTCTTAAGAACATTGGTGATAAGACATAAACGTCCCTTTGTAACCAGACAGTCAGTGTTTGAATAGACTTCTGTATCAAGTCAAATTGAGAGCCGGATCATCATATTTTTCGTTTTCTGTATGAATCAGTGGCACATGAGGCTACCGTTGTGGGTGTGGGTGTGGATGTGGTTGTGGGTGCCGTTTGGCGTATTAACCAAGATGACACACACCCACACCCTTAGAACGCTTTCTTCGTGAGTTTAGTAAGCTCTGCCAGAATCTAGACTCTACTTTTTCTCTTTAGTGCATCTTTTATTGTCAATTATTAGTTTCTGATGAGTTTTGTTACATTTCTCAGATTGTCGAAAATTACTATAGACTTTTTCATACAATCGCGCAGGCTAGTGGATAATCTTAGATCTTTGTGAGCTCTTGAAATCTCTAGTATTTAGAATTCAGGAGAACCTGTCAGAATTCATTGTGTCTAAATCCTATGCTTTAAATCAAAATTTATACAGAATTGCGGTAGAAATTGATTTGAACGGAAGACTCTTTATAGTTTGGTCTTTTTGCGTGCATTATCAATAGTTGTGGGGAAGTGTGTTAAAAAATAAAAGTTAGTGTGAAACACATAGAATTTCAAAAATCAGTTTCATGTTTCATTATTTAAACTTCTGGAAAAAAGACTAAAGAAGTCAGTAACGAAGATATTTCTGTTGAAGAATAATATCAACAGTAATAGTATCATAAATTTTATTAATCAGAGCTCCTATAAAGTGTCTTGTTGAAACCATATGTCAACGAAAACAATCTTAAATTTTTTCATGAGTCCAAAAATGGAAATCCCATGGGATAAAAAAGTCGTCCTATTCCATCCTATTCAGAGCTCTGTTCATCATATTTTCCCTGTCTGAGAATTGAATTGTCTAAATTGAACATATTGGAGCCAATCGGAAATACTTGAAATCGTCTCGTCTAGCCGGATGGATTGCCTTGTAACGAAATCAACTATCTTTATCTTTCTCTCTTTCTCTATATTGATCTTGTGACCCTTTCGCCTAATAAATATCGATTTGTATCAAATACTGATGTAGGAAGAGAANTTCATTTCATTGTGGTGCTGCATAACTTTGCAGATTTAAAGATACAAAAGTCATGGTTCTCTCTTTCAACTCATGTGTAACTTATTTCTAGCACACATTCATAAATGAAAAACAACCCCTATATCTAATTAGTAAATACGTATTAGACACTATTCTCTTTTGTTTTTATTGTTCAAATAATTGGATACAAGGTTCAAAATTAAAGTTAGTCCATAATTAATTAGGATTGACTAAAAGTTCTGATAACATTAAATAAAACAACATAGAAAATAGAGAGATATTTATCATTTTATTTAATATTCAACATAGTCATCATAATTATTTAGATAAAGTTCTATTCTTTCTTAAAATTTGTCAAACGTTTTTCTATGTAATATATTCATATAACAAACCTTTTAATGCTAGCTGCTGTATAGAATTTCCTGCAACATTATCAGAACTTTTGATCAGATCTAAGTAATTTTCCAAAAAAAAAAAAATTTTTTTTTTCTTCTATTTCAGTTCTCCACAATATCGTATATGTGATTTTTGTAATGAAAAATTATTAAAAGAATCTCTTACGCCTAATGGTATAACATATAATGATGCATTAAATAATCATGAAACAAAAGATGAGACCGATCTTTCGTTTGAAGTTCGACCAGAACGATTACCACCAACAACAGATACTCAATCAACATCCTAGAAATTGCTAGAATCCAGTTATATTTTTCTTTTTCTTTTTTTGAAATTTAGTTCTTTTAATTGCAATATTAAATTGAGCATTTCTTTTTTTGTTTGTATATCTTTACTTTTTTTTATAACTTATGTTTCATCGATACAGAGATATATATATATATTAATAAAAGAAAACGAAATAACTCATGTCTATCAATACTTCTAGAATCAATAAAATGTTTCTTTGAATGTCATTTAGATAATGACATATAATATCAGTTCACATTGTTTTAACTTACACTTAATAAACAAAAGAGAATAGTGTCTAATACGTATTTACTAATTAGATATAGGGGTTGTTTTTCATTTATGAATGTGTGCTAGAAATAAGTTACACATGAGTTGAAAGAGAGAACCATGACTTTTGTATCTTTAAATCTGCAAAGTTATGCAGCACCACAATGAAATGAACAACAAGTGTCGTACAGAATATAAAATTTTCGAGAGAATTATTTGACGCTTCTAGCAGAGCTGCCCATCTTCTTTAAGAATGTTCCTATCAATATCGTTGTCAGACATTCACATACTATTTTGATTTTTTTTTAACTTAGAAATATCTGTATGAGACAAAAGCAGATGAATAATAAGAAAAATTAAAAGACAAATATTTGAACGATGATGAATCGATTATTGAAAACAAAAAAGGAGGATGTAATCAATAATAGATTTATAAAATCAACAAGAAGTTTAAATAAACCAAGAGCCTTCAATTACATCTTTGAAAATCACTATATTATCTGATATGAAATTCTATTGAAAAACGAACTTGACTCTCACACTTTCTATTTAATGATAATGCATAGTTCATGTCCTCATAGAAGAAAATTAACTTTAGTGAAATACAATACAAAAAAACCTTCTTCTCTTCGACAAAGAAAAATTTATTTTTTGCAGCCAAGAATACATTGAAAGAACTGATTCATAAATCAATATAGATTTATGCATACAATAAATAAGAATTTTCCAATGTTTATTTTTTTCTGCACAAGCTAAACACAAGATAAATTATTTTGTATCAATAGAATTATTTGAAAAATGATCAAATCAATATTTTCTAATATCTATCTTTTTTTTCTCTTCGTTAAAACTTTAAATTGAAAATTCAAATTTTCTTCAAAACAATCAAGAAAATTATTTTATCGATAACTTAGTCAATTAAATATCAATTTTTCAATATTACTCGCACACTTACACATCGCATGCACAATTTCTGTTTTTACAAAAAAAATTAATATTGCTTCACTTGTGACGACTACAATAATAGATATATTGAAGAAAGAAACCTCCAATAGTAAAAGAACAACCACCAAGAACAAAAAGTATCGATGCTCTGTTCTCATCAGAGTCATTCCCATTAAAACGCGGTAGAAATAGTATCGTACCAACACAGTAGAAGAAACCACCAAAGCCTGTAAAAGCATCAGCAAAAAAAGCTGGTATATCTCTGGAAAGATTAACGAAGCGAAAACTGTGATCAGTTTGATCATCAGGATTTGTACGACTCATTCTGTATACTTTCCAACCTTGTGATAAAAAAATGAGAATTGAACCAACAATGAATAACCAATCGCCAGTGATCAAATAGTCGCTCAATGCTGGTATGAAAAAAATTGATCCAATTAGGTAGAAAATTGATCCACACACTGATACAAAAACATTAATTCCAACTTCAGATCGTTCCCATAGGCCAAGAAGCGAAGATCGTGAATGTCGAAACATGCCGGCGTTTGAGTCTTCGTATTCTTTACGATGTAAACAACAAAACCAGTAGCCTTTCAAATAGTGAGACCATTCCTGCAGATCAGCCAGTAAAAAAAATAGCGAGCCTATAGTAAAGAGCCAACCACCTGCTACCAATGCTCCTGGACGCGGTTCATAGACAGTTGTAAAATACATGCACGATCCAGCAATGAAACAAAGACCACCTAGCAAAAAGTGTGTTCCATGAAATATACGCCATACGAGTAATTGTCGTCTGTCAACAAACACAGATTTATTTATTTCATCAACGGACGATGCTCTCTTGGTGAATGTCGTGGGCTCCATGTTGAAACGATTCTGTATAACTGCACATAATCATATCTTTTTATTTTGCATTTCTACATGACAACATTGTGTCGGTTGAGTGAGCAATTAAAATACTGCATCGTATCTTATACAGAGGAGTTTACTATTTTCCATAGTGGAGGAAAAAGAAAAAAGAAAAGGAATGCAAGGCCGGTATAGTTTTGTTTTTGTGGTATGCTTTATTTATTTATTTTACTACACCCATTGATGCTTGCAAAAACATGATCATAGGGAGGACGAGAAACGAAAAGGAAAAAAAAAGATATTACACCAGTAACAAAAAGAAAGGAAAAGAAAAAAAACACGAAAAAGTGGAGAAAAGATAAATGGGATAAAAAAGAAGGATAAATAGGTAGAAGGAGAAGTATATACTAACTTGTTTCTTTCACACTAAATGGACAAAAGAGAATCTTTGTATATCAGTCATAAAAGATATCAAGATTGAAACAAAACATTGCTATGTACTTTTCTTACTTATACAAATATTCCAATAGAATAGGTTGAAACGTTATTCGCATTTAAGTTCCTATGTTATTGAGGATGTTGGTGTGGATGTGGATGTGGATGTGGATCTTCTCTTTATCAACACAACATCCACACCCTAGTCGATTATTCACTGTATTTCTCATCAATTATCTCAACTTTCTGAATGACACACTTACGATAAATAGATCAAAGTAGTGATTGATTCTTTGACAGTTCTATCTTAGTTACTAGAACACAGTAGACAAACGCCTTTCTACGAAATAAATTCAGTTTTTGATAGATAGGACTATTGTTGTTTGTTTCTTTTATGTACGACAAAATTGAAGAATTTTGGGACGAAAACTTGTTAGGTAGTCATTGTTAGTTATACGTTTTTGAACATATCTGAGTGGATCTATCGATGCATGATTTTGATTTGCAAATTTCAAGGGCATAAAAAAGTCAACATATCTTCTACACCGTTTTACCGTTATATGAGCTGTTAGGTTAATTGTCGTATTAAAGTATCTTGATACAATCTTTTTTCGCGCAACTCGAGGTAAGAGCTGACTTCTGCCGAATTTGTCTCGCGATTTCTCGCTTTTTCTGTAACTTTCTTGAATTTTTTCACTAAGACCTATTTGTCTTGGTCTTGCCATCATTTATTCTGTCGTTAAGAGGATCGAGATGACAGAGACGTATGATTGCTAAGCAAAGGAAAGAACCTCAGTTCGAGAAAAACTATCTTTTCATATTCCTTTGCTCTGATCGAGAGTATACAGTTTCCTTATTTGTCTTTCGTTTTTCCTTCTGAACTCATCCTTCGTCGTTATTCTGTCAGAATCTTATTATTGTCAAACTTAAGAGTATCAATAAAGTCGATACAGTAATCTTTCATTATCTTCCGATTACATGTCGGTTAGAAGCAGTGAAAGAGAGTCAAACAACGACATTTTCTTTCGACTTTCCAACTCAATATTGAAAAACTGTTGTCACACGAAAGAAGATTTCGTTTCACCTTCAAAGTTGACATCATTTTGCAATGATCCTACGCTATTAGTAGAACAATATTTATGTCACAATTTGAAACTTAATTATGTCAGATCTTCCGATATGGCAGGAAAAATTCCGATTTTTAACTTTTTCGTCTGGCAACGCTGACCATAAGCCGCCCCGCTAAGCAGCTTAATCCTAACTTTAGAACACGTGAAAGTGCATAGTGTGATACTTTGTGCATTAGCTTTAGTTGCAAAGATGAAGTGTAACAGGGAAAGAAGCTGCACTTGATGGACGTTTTTGGGTGTCAAGTGGAGCTTCAAAGATCAGTGAAAAACCGGGTAAAAATAATGTTATTAAATAAAGTATGAAATTCGGCTATGAAAATGCAAAAGAAGTCACTTTCTGAAACAGCTGCCTGTAGGCAAATCGATCATTTATACGTCAAGTTTTGATAGTAGCATTATCTTCGGATATTTACATGCGTTTGTCATGTTTTTTTAAGATTGACTTGTTGATGAATTCTGAAATCTCCACTACTCCTATACTTTCACGCTCCACATGGATCCAACGATAACTGAAAAAAAAAATACTGACATTTTCTTACGATAAATACTAGTTATGACATATGCTTGTATACATATACATCCCAAAAAAAAAGTTCATCATATGGAACAACATCGTACACTAGTCTCAAAACAATTTATTATCGATAATTTCTAAGAAAAAACAAGATTTTTCTTACAGTTTTTGCATGAATAAGATTACAAGTGCGTTCAATTAGCTTTCAAGCAGTGCTCATCTAGTTTTCAAAGTACTTTTATGAAAGGAGAACATTGATAGTTCGATGACGACTATGCTTGGTCATTTTTTTTCGGCATTGGATTGGTAATAATCACCGGGAATACTAGGTTAATATTGGTGAAAAGACCACGAAGATGTGCTTCAAATTGCAGGCTGTAGCGTACGGCGAGCGATTTTTTAGCAGAACTCGAAGGAAGATGAAATGAAAGCGTAGGTAGAGCTGTATGTGGCACATGCAGTTGGAAGCTTTCATTGAAATGTCTGCCTTTAAACTTCTGAGTGTTTTCCAGATTCCGAGTGACAAGATTGAACACCTTCTTTTCCTTAGAACCCAACTCCAGATGTTGAGTGAGAGCCACTGATACTCGACGTACATGCGCTTCCTTCGGATTATATAAATCGACGTCAAACGAAAAATTGTTCCCAGCAGCGATGACATTTTCTTTGAGAACTACACGCAAATTAACACCTTTTCGATTGCTCTTTTCTGACTCGAGTTTCGTCGCATTTACAGGTAGCGACGCATGTTTAACGACAATAGGACATTTTCTTTCTATGTTTGATTTGAAAAATTCGGATCGGACAAATGTGATACTAATAAAGTAATGAATCAATGGCATATTGGAATCGTTTTTGTTGAACGAGGGCGGTAAGGATTCATTAAGTTGGAAACGAAACGGCCAACTGTGACTGCCATACAGTACAGGAAACTTGCCTAGTGTACCGATTGGATGTACTACTATTCGCTCACTGAAAAATCTCACTTCAGTGGTATTTTTCGATTCACTCTTGTTTGTCTTCTTTGCAACTTTGTGGACAAATTCACCGATCAATTCTGCGTTGATACGCTCCAATTTCAAGTTCGCGTGATCAGTATTAACAAAGTCGACAAAGCCTGAAACGGGTTCACCAGTCCAAAACACAGCCTTGGCGTTTTCAGTGAACCGACATTTAATATTCCATTCGGATCCGCTGCTACTAGCACTTAATAATATCGCTGTAAGAAGCAAATATTGATATATACCACTCTGGAACGAATAAACCAGATTGAAAGACAGGCAAGGAAGCGAAAATTCACTCTTCATGGATCCTCGCTAGCATACACGCGAAGAGAAATTCAAAAGTAGTGTTTTTACACTCGGGACAGATCAATATATGGATATGGATACATCGACATTGTTTACAATGATAATAGTATGAATTCGTTGCCGACTGACATTTCAATAAAATTACACGTAAAACAATATGCCTTGAAGATTAGAAAACAAAGGCAGTATCAATAAATTTCATTATTGTGAGAAATATTGTTTTGTTTACTTGGATTGTTCTCGATGAGAAATATCAGTTTTCAAGGATAGCTACCAAGATTAATCACATTGAAAAATGGTGAGTTTATTCTTCCGACACATTAAAATAGCTACATGGAAAAAAATCGACAGTGGTCAAAATGACAGAAACGTGAACTCGTTGCCAACTTACATTTTGATATAATTACACTAAAGACAATATACTGTGAAGATTAGAAAAAAAGCAGTAGCAACAATTTTTATAATTACGATGCATATTCATTTCTTTACTTTGATGGTACTCAATTAGGAATATTATTTTTCAACAATAGCCATTCAGATTAATTATCGTAGAGACTTCACCGTTCATCTCGCTTGTCATGCGTTACACAGGTTTTCTTCGATTCTGATTCTCAATTTTCTTCACTTCATGTGTAACTGCTACTAGTAGTTCACAGTAATGGTACCAGTTCATACGATCCATCTTGTATTAACGATTATTGACTGACATAGAACGAAGGATGTTAACGACTTAAGCTTGTTTGATTTAAAGTTGACCACTTTATTCGTTTCGAAAAAACTGATTGAATTCAATAAATAACTTTTGAAGAGTTGATCAATGAGATGGCAGATAGAAAATAAAGAGTTTTAAAAGATTTCCATATAAAATTGTCTGCACATGATATAAAGAATGGTATGTTGTTTTTTTTCTATAAATAGTAATTATCAAGTGTTATATAAAATAAAATTACATGCATATAGTAACTAATTAGTCTTATAATTAATCTAAGTCTTAAAATATATTATTGTTATCGGTTGAGAGTAAGATGAATTTTGTGAAAAAGAATTGAATATTTTGAATAGATATTGACTAGCCGATTGTTTCTTGTATTGATAAAATAATACTCATAATACATCAGCAAGGGTCATCAATTTGGGACATAGATAAAGAAAAGTTTTAATTAAAGTTATAGCAACGGTTCAAAGAGGTTTTACTATAACTTATAGCGGATGTTCGATTCCATGTTATAATGACAATTAGATGGTGTGATCAAATTATAAAAAAAAAACTCATGACATTCATAATAAGAATTATGCCTACCGAACGATATAAATCGTAGTTAATTAAGAAAAAGAAAGGCACCAGTTAAACGCATTATACAAATCACAACTCATCAAATAGAAACAATAAAAACACAGAACATGAACATGAACACGAACATGAGCGCGAACACGAACACGAACGCGAACACGAACAAGAACTAGAACACAACCAGAATAAATCATAAACAAAACAAAACAAAACAAAACAACATAAACAAAACAAAACAAAACAAAACAACATAAACACAACCATTAGAACACAACCAGTAACTAGAACGAGGAAATTTCATGTTTATCGCCCTTTGCTGCTTAATTATAAATCAATGACAAATTTAGTTTTATGGGCANATTGAAAAAAGAAGTTTTGATAAAAAATTTGGTTTTCTAAAAAGTCAGTATACAGAAAATCCGTAAAGAGACTTTGTCATGATTAAAGTTAAAACATTGAAAGTTTTCTTTTAGTTTATTTAATTTCATAATATCTGTTTTATTAATATAATGCAATAGAACTTCAATATCTTTTAGTTGTATAGCTATTTCTTTTTGAATCATATCAAGAAACATTTCGTTTGATGAGATATGATATGAAGCATGTTCAGACTCACGATATCTACATTTGATTTGACCATTCATACGATAATCACTAAGGTCAATAGATACCTATTCTATTCTTAACATCTTCTTCTTATCTAAATAGTCATATTTTAACTCAAAAAAGAAAAATCATGTCGAGTTTTGATGATAATGATCGCAACTGTGGTATATATCGAACAAACGATCCAATAAATAACTTTAAAAGTCGGTATCCTGAACATAAAATAGGAAATTTTATTCGAAAAATTCAATTTTTTAGTGTGAAATCCGAACGTTTAACATCGAATTCATTATTACCAAGTTTAGAACGAGTAAAAATTCAAGAAGAATTATCTCGTTTACTTAATAATGATGGACAACCTACTAAAGAACCAAAAGCTAGCAAAACCGAAGTAGCACAAATGTTTAATCAAACAAACAATTCCGAATATGAAGAAGTTGTGATCGTTTGGCAACGAAAACATTTTAGTCGTGTATTTATATACTTTTTCGTTTGTTTTGTTTGCTTTTCTCAATTTTAAACTTTTATTTAGTTCGAATTCGAAACATATGGAAAAAGTATTGGACCGCACAGTACAGAAGTTGAACGAAAATATTTTGATGCTATAGAAAAAATGAAGTAAAAATTGACAAAATTATTAAATAAATCTATTTTCTATCTTTTAGAGCTAAAAGAAAAGAACCTGGCAGAATATTTACGCATATATGAAAGTGATCCATATTGTCATGCAAGACATGTAAATAGATATTTATTTGATTTAATTCATATTCATGTTTATTTAAATTTAGCTTGATTATTTCATGATTGATTCATCAAATGAACGACTAAGTCAATTAGCATTAGGAATTAACAATATTCGTAAGTTATGATTAATGAAAATAGTTCGATTATCTAGTAAGTTACAAGAAAAATCAATGAATCATAGATTTTCTTAGATGACTATCAGAGCTGTTATACTGATATGACATATATAAAGTAAAAACTATCTAACAGGCTATAGCTCTTTTTCGAAGGACAATCGATCATTACAGAGATGATATGTCTTACTACTAGCTGCTCGCTATTTATTTTCTAATAAACAAGCAACATTTTCTAACATTGAGGAAATTTCTCAGCATTATTGTTAATGCCATTCAATGTCTTTTTTCGTTGCTAACGAACTATAGAAAATGAGTCATAATCCTGTTGTCTTCGGTTGCTATGTAAACTTATGTGAGTAATATTTAAGCACAGTTGCAAAAATCTATTAAAAGTATCATTTTCAATGATCTTAAATCTATTGGTCTATACCTTCACTGTTACGCTTCAAAACAGACTTCTATGAAAGAGAAGCTGAAAAAATGTCTCTTCACATTGTACACTCACTATTTTCCATGACTATGTTGTGTCGCCAATGCGAAAGACCCACCAATCATTGTTACATAAGTAAAATAGATTCCATATCAGTGATAAGCACAGGACAGGACGGTTCTGGTGTCTTGTACTATAATGGCCGCCCTTCAGGGCCGAGATAGTTAGCAGGAGAGAAAATCTTGTTCTGTGCTCATCTCTGTTCCATACAAGACTGCTACTTTTTTTCGAAAAATCAGATTGATTTCAATATGTGCTTTTTTAGCACTAATTTCATTTCCAAATTTAACTCTTTGTTCTCTAAATGTTCTTAAGATTTTCCTCGAATGGTAAAAAATTTTTATTTTTAAGATAAACCTAAATTTGTTCAATCACGTTTTAAACAAAGGTTTGTTATTAAAATGACTTTTGTATGCTCAATTACTTCCTAAAATATTTTTTCAGTAATACAGAATATTTTCTAAAAACAAATATTATTAATAAAACTCCGACATATGATGACATTTGAAGAAATCATTATGCTTCTATACCGTATCAAACAATGTATATAATGGCTGATGTAAGTCATAGAATCGCTACAACAACTGATAATTCACAATCAATTAATGAACATGTTTTATGTCGAATACAAGCTTATTCCAATGGTATCATTGTAGTAGAACATGATTTTAATAATGGTAAATTGGCTTATGTGATTGAAACAGGATATACAAACAAGATATTTTATCAGTATTACTTAGAACATGCATCAATATCAGTAACTAAAGATTATCTTATTAAAGCAAAAAAGATTAATGAATGAAATTTGTACAAGACAATAAATGTATCTAGCAAATCTTGTTGGAAATAAATTTGATATAGTAAAATTAAAAAAACATATTTATACATGTATATATATGATATAATTTTTTTTTGTAATGATTACTGTTTTATATTTAATTTTAGCCACCACCAAATATTCTTAAATTAAATATATTTGGTGAATTAGTTAGTGGAAAAAATTTTGATTATGATAATATTTATGTTTATTATTGTTTGGATTTAGCTGATAGTAAATTGAAAATTTCTTTGAAAAAAAGAAAGAAATAAAAATTTTTTTTTTTTTTTTATTTTCTATATTGGTATTTCGAATCATCAATGATTTTATCTGGTTATATACATACGGCAAGTATAACAAGTTCTAGTAAATATGTTACTAAGAAAATTTATAATTTAAATTTTATTTACTAGAAGAAAAAAAAATGTTGTTTTTTCTTCAGGATGATATTGTTTATTATTCGCATCCATTTGAATTTGAAATTTGGTATAAACCATCACCTACTTCAGTTGATCATGGTAAATAGCGAATCACTTTTTTTTTTAAATATTTTAATTTTTTTTGTTGTATAGAACTTCCTCGAATGCCAAAAATTTATTTTCAAATTTTTTCATTAGATTCATGGGGTCGTCATCGCATAGAAGACTATACATATATAGATATTCCAAGTAGTCCAGGTTAACAATTAATTACTGATCTATATTTTTTTATTTTTTTTACTGAATTCAATTATTTTATTTAATAGGATTTTATGATGAAGATTTATCATGTTGGAGACCACGTGGTAATTCAATATATGATGAACTTCGTCGATTTTATATTGGTGGTTCGTCGGAAATTGAATATGTGAGTTATTTTGCTATTCCAAAATTATTTCAAAGTGAAAAAGTAATCTATTTTATTTAAATTGAACAGAAAAAAACAAAGTATTTTGTTTTTTAGAATAATAAATTATTAAGTCATTTTGGTTTTCGTACTGTTTCAACAGGAACATTAAATATTCGACTGAATATTGCTTTTCAATCAGAGTATATAAAAACAAAATATAGAAATTTTTTTTTTTATTTGAAAAATTATTTCTTTTGAATAGATGTCTTGCAAAAGAACATCAAGATGCCAGTCGCTATGGGTATATTTTCTTTATATGATTAAGTTTAATATATGCACTTTTCATTGTTCTTTATTTTTGATATATAGTTTTGATGTATTTATGTCAAATATTAATGATACGCTTTGGAAGTTATTCTATTGATCAGTTTTAATTATTTGAAAGCATTTAATAATTGGAATCCTTCGGATTTAGAATTCATAGGGACGAAACAAAGCTTAGAATGGTTGTATTTTTGATCACTTAAAAAGAAATTTCTTGGATGAGAATGTTGAAAAAACCAGTGTTAGCTACATTCAATTTATAGAACACTTACAAGAAGCATTTTTCTTTTGTTTTTATAAATAGAGAATCATATCAGCTATACAAATGTTTTCTTTTTCCTTTGTTAATTGATTTATTTCTGTTTAGACTTTATGTTAGTTTTCTTCAAAGATTCATTCATAATTCTTCATCTATGAATCTTACAAAAATGTTGCCTTAATAATTTATTTCGATAATATGATATTGTGATGAATTTTTGGAATTTATTTTGTATATTTTTTCATAGATGAATATGAACAAGCAAGAAAGCATGCATTAGAAGTTTGAGAAAAAGCATTTCAATATTTAACAACGAAAGAATTTAAATCTTAATCATTGCTATCAATGTCAGATGATTTAATTTTTCATTCAATATATTTACATGTATATAGTAATATTACATTTATGCTATGCAATGATTACAGTAATTTAAATTGTAATTTTTTTTTATTGCATAAATCAATATGATGTAGTAGATAGTGTGATATTGTTGACTTCTAGTCAATTTGATTGATATTTTAATGAAATGAATAAATTTGTTTTCAATAAATTATTTATTAGNCGGGATTGGAATTACATCTTTTCCGAATTCGTCACATGGAGGAAAAAGCGGTTTTTTGCTGGTGGACCGAATTTTTTGCTCGACGAGCCCCGCCGGAGTTGTCACCATTCGATAGAGAATTAAATTCTGCATCCAGCACAACCAAGTAGGGGACCAGCACAGACGTAGGGGCGAATCGGCACAGGAAATACGCGAATCTGGTGCTAACATTACCTACGTATTTTTCTCTTTTCGCTTATTATCGCCAATATAGAGTCCTAATGAGTGTTTCGATATTTTAATAAATAACACGAAACGTGTCGGCGAAATTAACTCTGTATTTGCTTAATTATTTTAATTCAAGCACATTTGTATATTATGGTATTTCATTTTCGACAGGAAATCGATTACTGAAAAGCAAGAGTTGAAAGTGGAAGATTGATTTGTATGATATAGGCATATAGATCCGTCTGTTTTCAATTTGCTTGGTTTCTTCTCTCTTATATATAAACATACCCATATCGATGCCCATACAAGCACTTTTCTCCTCTTTCAGAATGTCGCACAGAAATGCGATAACAGTCAGCTACAATTTTCTTTACACCTCGAAAAACTAGAAAAGCTAATTGTAGATTATCTATCTTCTCGGCGATCTTAATATCAATCGAAAAGATACATTGTGTTTAATCACCTGATGAGATCCTAGAGCACGATCGAAACGCATCATGGTGTGCTTGACACACCCACACCCCACACCTGACGAGATCTTTCGTCCAATTGAAACGTATTGTGGTAGTTTCCCTTGATATTTGTTGTCTTTGTATAAAATTTATATATTTTCAACACACCCACATCCTACATGATGATAGTAATAATGCATCTACAACTAAACAAACTGAATTGTCTAGAACAAATGAAGAAAAAACATCAACAAATATGGCTCATAATAATCATCAACAATATTGTTTTATTATTTTCAATAATCCGAAATGGTCCCGACTTCTTGGAAAAAGACCCGACAGACTCCAATAGTGATAAACAAAAATTTAGAGAAATTGTATTTTCTAGCTTTCTTCTCGATTGTAATAGCCAGAAAGAATTCGTAAACTCAGAGGTCTTAGTTGTCTTCATGATCTTCTTTTATCCAACTGCATTTAACTTACAGAAGACACAAAAATGTCAAATTCATAGAAATTTTTCATTAAAAAAGAACAAAAGAAAAATAATTCTTGGGTTTTCTACGAATTGAATCCAGTTCCATAAAGGAACGTCATGGAGAGAGGCAAGACGTCTCATTTTGTTCAAAATTATTTACTCTATCAAATAGAACACTTGCCACACAGGTTTTGGTTTTTCCAGACATTCTCATGCAAACACTGTTGTTGGAGTCTTCGAGCCTTCCCCTCCTCCAATCCTAATAGAAAATCTTTTCGTACTTATTTTTGCTACTATAACTCGAATTTCTATTTTAAATATTTTCATTGTAAAAATAATACTATGGATAGAACGATAATCAAAACAAAAAATTTTTTTTTAAAGTATATTGTAAGACAAAAATCCAAAGAAAAGATTGAAGAAGAATATATTTAACGTGTGGTGCAAAAGTTTCTGGACAACATGATTGATACAATCAAGCAAAATGCAGTAGGACTAAGGTAAAGTGAACTTCTTAAAAAGTGAAAATGAAAAAGTAGCACACAATCAATGCTAAATGGGATACAATCAGATTTGTCGCTCCTAAATCTGTTAGTTGAACTACTTTCGTTCAAAATTCATTTTCTTGTCCTTCAAAAATTCACTCATAATGCTTAATCATATGAGTTTCAAAAAATTCCGCAAATGACCGAAATTTCTATTCTAAACCAATACTTTAAATTTTCTGTTGAGTCTCATCATTGATCGAAAAATTTTGTCCAAAAACTTTCTCTTTTGATATTAGTCAAATCTTAATCGTTCACATCTTTCATTTCGGTAAATCCAAATGTCATGAAATTTGAATTTTTGTTTTTGTTCGAAAAATTGTAGTTATAGTGAAAGTGAGAATATATGATATTAAAAAAGAATTTTTTGTATTTATTCTATATATTTGTTCATTTATATGAATTGTTTAATTATATATATTGAACTTTAGATGAATATGAACCAGCAAAACAACGTGTACTGGAAGTTCGAGAAAAAACATATCAAACAATTAAATCGGAAGTATTTGAATCTTAATAATCGTAATAAATATCAGATGTTTTAATTTTCATTCAATATTTACATGTATCTAGTAATAATAGATTAATACTGTGCAATTTTTGCATTTTGTTTAGTAATTAAAATGTAATTTTTGTTTTTTTGTGTGTATTGATAAAGAATTATTGATCATTAAAATTTTGTTTTTCTTATGTTTTTGTTGAATAAATCTGCATGATGTAGTATCAATTTTGTTTTGATTTTTAGTCGATTTGATTTATGTTTTAATAAAAATAAATAAGATTTTTCTATGAATGTTAAGGATATATTCTTGAAATGCAATTGTAAAATTTAATAAGATAATGCAGATGTCTTTGTATCACAGTGTTTCATCAACTACTTCTCAGAATGAATATGGAAATTAATCATATAAGCACATAACATGTAGTAAAAAATACAAAAATAGTATAACGTACAGTTTTAGTACACTATTCATCAAAAACTCATACTAACTTACACTGAATTGGTGTTCACTGATCTATCTGATATATTCATATTTTATTCAGTGTATCAATACTTCAATGAACGTCGAACTGGTGTAGCCAGCGTGTCAGTATTTTTACGAGGCTGATCTTTCATAATTTTGACTGCACTAGGAAAAAAACCAGAGTCTGAATGAGGCATTCTACATCCTGAGCGAGGTTTTTTATCATAATCTTGCTTTTGCTTTTACTTTTAGCTAGACTCTTCATTTATCTTTTTTTTTTAGTCTTACATGTTATGCTAAAATAAATACCAGAGAACGTTGCAGGACCTGCCCTGCAGGACGGAATTGAAAAAAATATCGCACAGAAATAAATGGGCTATACAAAGAATTTGAGATCCATGCAGACTTCGATACAACATTGATTGTTGAGTTGTTTTGTGTGAAGTGTAATCCTCACGTGAAATGTAAGATGACAATAACTACTAGAATAATATGCTGCTTTCCTCTTTCTTACACCAGACAAACTACTATATATATAAGAACCAAGTGGAAAAATCCATAAGATGAAAAACTCCACAAGTGATGATACACGAGAACCTATGTGAAAAAACGACTTAAAATTAGATTAAAATCGAATTTTTCCGCACTGAAAGAAAAAATTATTTTGATTGCAATCTTTTGCAAATTTACTTTAATCAGATTAAAATAGTGCCATTATAATAGATTTTAATTTGACTTTTAGGCGTCGTTTTTTGTTTACATGGCAGCAAAGAATCACCGATGAAATATCAAGAGAAAAGAAAACAATATATAGAACGAAGGAAAGGAAAAAAAGGAGGAAAAATTCATCACACATATCGAATAATAACATCAATAACAATAGAATAGCAGAAGAGAGAAAAAGTACAAGAGAGAGAGAAAGAGAGAGGAGATAACATACTACTACCTAAGATTTGGTAATATATGATATTTGACATTGTACCTCATAATTAGACAAGCGTTTTATCTTTCTAAAGAATGCAATGAAAAATTTGTCCTGCAGGATATAGGATAGGACGAAAAAAAACGACCTGTGACGTTCTCTGGTCAGAGCTGTTCTAATTATATGACTATGTGTTGTTTACATCAGAGGTTGGTAAAGTCTCTTATCATTAGTTAAAGATCGTACTGTCGTCTGAATAGATCTATAACCATATAAAGTATTAACAAAAAGTAATCTTTGTTTTTACTGAATAATTTCTTCTATGTGTATTTTTAAAAAATGATATAAATGTTTTTTATTTAAATGAAAAATAAACTAAAAGTATAAAAATTCAACAAGAAAAATTATAGTTCCCAAATTTCTCCCTTGGCGAAAGTCTTATTGTAAAACTTCCGATCATTGGTAAAAAGTTACCTTTAGTTATTTCTGTTTTATTAATAAATATCGATTTCGTAGAATTGTTAAAATGATTTAAGCATTAACAATTATTAGAAATAAATGTATAAAAAAAAAAACGAAAAGAAAAATATCAACATATCTATAATTATATGTCAGCGTTCCAAAGTAATATTTCACCAAATTTTAAATTAAATTAACATTCAAAATTAATAATATTTAATTAGAAAAGAAAACAATCTTCAATTAATAACTATTTCCTTCATGTTATTTTCTTCATTATTCATAATTGAATGATAACAATTTAGTTATAATTAATATTTGTCAAAGACTAAGATCCAATGAATTTAATTTTAGTAACACATTTGAAAAGTATTAAAGAATTACTAATATTTTTATTATATAATAAAAATTTAATTATTCTATCAAACAAATATACAAACATATTTCGAAAGGCATTCCTACTTATGACATATTTTTTTCATTTATAAGAAGTTTTTCATCCCAACTAAACGAATAAGATTGAACACGTGTTGGATATTTATATTTTTGACTTATCAATATTCGACGCCATATTTCACGCATATTATTCATTGAACCAGGCTAAAACAAAAATAAAACTGTGAATATTTAAAAAAGAAATTCTTTTTTTTTTTAATATTTACAAAATGTCCAAACATAATTGTATAAAAAGCTTTCGGAGACATAAAACGTGAATGCGCTATTTGTTCCGAAACTGTATAAAGTGAACCAAGTTGTGTATAACTTACATTTGCAGCACTAGCTACTGCTCCAGTTATATAATAATCATCGACCCAAAAAAATGGTACATATAAACTAGCATTATACCTAAAAATGATAAAAGATTAATTAAGTTAAAATAGAGTAACTCCAAAAATTGGTTATATAGATATAATTTCGATTTTTTTTCGTAATGGTAACTCGCATCAAGAATCTACATAGTAAATTGAACAGAGAAAATTGTTTCCAACAAAGGTTTGAAAAAAAGAAAATTTTCGACCTCTAAAATCTCATACGTAGTTTTTCAGCAACCAGAGTTCGAAAATAAAAGTTTTATTTGTTTAAAAGAGTAATTGATTCTCTAAAAACTGAGACGTCTTCAAACTCTTCGCAATATTTTTTTGACGGAACAATATTAATTTTAAGACAAGCTTAAAAATGATTTTTTTCACTATTTCTTCTGAAAAAACCAGACTTCTGCACTTTTCTTAAAAGCTATGCAATTCAGTCAAAAAAATGTCGTGAAATACTCGGAGATGTGCAAGAGAAAAACAGATGATTTCAATGATTCTGATCACCAGAATAAGGATTGAACGTTACAAATACGTTATTAAAATCTTTTACTGAAAATTTTTCAAGTTGAAGGATTGTCGTACGATGTCTCTTGGGTCAACTAGATTTCAATAAGAATTTTTCTTAGCCTAGCATATTTCAGCAGGTATTTTTTCTACTATTGTAAGGATAAGACATAGTGTTGTCCTAACTGATTACGATTAGGTAGAACTCTCTTGTATATTATTCAAACGAAAAAAATGAGTGAGCTGAGATGTCCTGAGAGAATGACTGAAAGAAATATAACTGATCTCAATGACTCCCTTGATTCCAGGCGATTGCATGTCATTTCAATGCCACTGTCGAAACAACTGCTTCTCCCTTGAAGATATTTCATTTTGTAGAGAAGCATTTGCTCTTTTAATCAAATAAAAATTTTATTTTTTGGCTTTCGATTACTGAATAACTAGGGTTGAGGTTTTTTAGAGAACCGTAGATTTTTTGGAATACTGTAAAGATTTTGCTTCTCTCAAATTCTTGTTTGAAATAATTTTCTATATCGAAATTAAATCTGCATAGTCAATTTTTGGCGCCGATGTGCATATATTTACATTTTTGCGGCCATATCTCCAGTAAAAATATAAGCTAAAAACAAGAAACAAGAAGAAAAAACTATTCAATATGTTTTATTAGTTTTTGCAATTTTTACCTGAACCACTACAATATGGTGGAAATCTATCAAATGGAAAATCTTCTTTACTTAAATACCATTTCGATTTACTAAGAAAAAACAATAAAAAATAAAGAAAGAAAAATATTTGTTTTTTCCTATATTTCTAACCTATCTCTCATAACAGTCATAGCACTCCATAATAAACAAAGTATTGTTTGTTCTCTATCTGGATTAAGTTTATCAAGAAATTTTAAATGATTAATTAATGTAAATGTATTAACAACAATATCATCATCAACTTTTAATATATATTTTGCTTTTGAACAATATATTGATATCCATTTTAATGCCATTATACCTTTATATGTTAAATTTTTATATGCATCAATAAAATCTTCTTGAACAATATCTTGATAAATTTCATTTTCATATTTTATTGCTTTCATTATATTTTCATCTGATGTTTTACCAATCATAAATACAATACGTAAATCAGAAAATAATGTTTGTGTTGCCCATGTTTCACGTATAACAATACGACGTTGATAATTTGTTGGACCAGAATGAACATAAACAAGAATATAAACAGATGAATCACTTGTATTACATACTGAATAACCAGGATTTAATATATAAGAAAAATTATGTGGATTAACAATATAATCTTTTGGTTCATATGGATTTTTAATAGGACTTATTGTTGTTGTTGATATATTATTACCATTCTGACTTTTTGATATATCAATATAGATAAATATCAAAATGAACAAAAAATTCATTTTTAATTGCATGAAAGATTCTATCTAGAAAACAGTAGAATAATTAAGAAGATTCGCTTTTTTACTATTTTTACTTATACTTCAGCACATTAATAGATTGAAATTTGATATAGATACGAAATATTATACTGCTGTCATTGGTCGATAGATTTTTTCATCTGATTGACAACGTTTACGATTCGGATGTATGTGAATAATCGGTAGATATTCATTTTACACCATGATTATTCGTTTTAGAGTAGCGTCAGCAGAAAAGTGAAATAACAGAATAAAAGAGAAACAGCGAACAGGTATGATGTAGGTGCCTGTATATGTACAGGCAAGATTTACCTTTCATTTTTTCCTTTTCTCACGCCAAGTCTTTCTTTCTTTCTTTCTTTCTTTCTTACAAGCACACAAACATACTCGTTGGATATATGTTTTTTCCTTTCATTTTGGTCAATGCTTGTTGTATTTTACTTCTAATAGTAAAATTAAAAAAGGAAAAAAAAGAAACGAGAGAACATACGAGTGTCTCATTTCTATGAGTCGTATTGGCATAGCAATGGGCTTTTATATTTATTGTTTCTTTCACACATTTTCTTTTCATGACTGGAAGAGGTATATTTTTGTGTTAATGACTGTCAAGTAAAAATGTTAAAAGACATGAACAAGTTCAATATTACATTCTGCAATAAAATAGGAAAAGAAGAAATTATTGTAGAATTATAGATAGTCAACAAATAATAACTACAGGAAAAGAGAAGTTAAAGAGTATTGTTGGCATCTAAATTGACATTTCCTAAAACAAAAGCATAATATATACAAGCAAGATAAATCGTACATGGTCAAAATAATTCTTTTTCTAAGAATAATATACATATTTATATATATATATATAAGACGTTTTTTGTTTATTCAATTAGAAAGATTATTTTATTAAACCAGTTGAATGACAATAATCTCTTAGAAGTACAAAAAAAAAAATGTTTTTTTCTTGTATATGAAAGTTTGTTGAATAGCTCAATTAGATTGATTGTTGCTTATATAATATACATATATTTATGTATTAATGCTTTCTTTATAATACACAAATGATCATTCAATTGGTCTCTCTTGGAAACACCCAAAAGCAAACATTAGAATATATAAAACAATCTAGATATTTGCCGTTCTGTACAGAATAGCTAAAATGTGTCGTTGACAATCGATTAGGTGGATACAGAGGCAGCAATAGAAGAAAAAAATGAGGACGAGTACGAAGGCCAAATAGAGTTGATGCTGTTGTAATATCGCATCAACAACAAAGATAGAAAGGAAAAACGAGTTATTCCATAATACATTACCGGTTGATTTGTGTTGGCACTAACATGCATCTAGCACTCGTACAAAAAATAATGTATTTATTTTCAAATATAGTCATACTTCTTTTAGTATATTTAACGATTACTTCATTAGTAGCAGGTAAATCATAATTATAATTTAGAAAACAACCTTGATTGTATATATATATACATATATTTTTAATTAATTTTTCTATTAGATGCATTTCGTGATAATGCAGAAGAATGTTGTGAAACAGGTCGTATTCAAGCTGAAACTAACAAAACATGTACGTTGAAATCACACTTAATAACAACGGACAATGATACGAATACAACAAATTATTGTCCTTATTTAACACATATATGTTGCTTATCGAATGTACGTAAATATTTTTGTGAAGAAGGTATTAATACAGCTCTTCGTTTATTACCATGTAATGAAACAAAATTACAACTAAAAGATACTTATAAGGTTTTATATTTGATTTTTTTTTTGTTTTTAAAAAAGAATTTTTTTTCTCGTTGTCGATAGATATGTTGTCGATGTTGCGAATTAGGTGTTCAAGCAGGTCGACTTCTTGAAGATTGTGACCCGGTGCCTGTACTTGATGAAAAGTGTGGGGAACAATTTACAAATTGTTGCAAAAAAGCTAAATCCTGTAATCTATTAAATACATTCAATGAAAAATATATATTTTTCTAGTTTTGTTTTTCTTCTAGTAAATTGTGATACTGGTTTTGAAATGGGCGATAATGGCCGTTGTCATGGTATGTAATGCGTGGTGCAGAATAAATCAGGTTGTTTGTATTTTTAAAATTTCTCCTCTATTCTTCAACTGATTAAAAGACTTCTTTTATCAAAAAATATCGCTTGATATTTTTCACAATATGGTATACTTTATTAAACAATATTGTACAGTAAAATCACGTATAGAATTTAGATATTTTTTTCTTTTTCGATTTATCTGACTAAATGTTTGGTTTCATCTATCAATGCTACTTTTGTTGTTATGTGATGTCCATTAGTATGAATGTATGACAATGATTTGTATACCATTTTTCACTGATGTAATATGTATGGATCTTAAAAAACTCCACTAACATCCAATTTGTGAGATTAGTTCGTTCTTTTTGTTCAGATCACTTACGATTGACTCTTTGAATCTTTCTTATAGTAAATAGCCAAGATCTTCATGCGATAGGAACAGTACGCACTTTGTTTTAATAGACAGTTTTCTTGCCAATATCCATTTCTGGACTTGATGAGTAGACGTCATTTGTCCTTTTTAGACATTTATTTTGGTTCAAATTGTGTGCCGGCGACCGTGATGATGTGAAAAAATTGATAGAGCCAGTATTGTTGATCATTTTTAACCATAATTTAATTGTTTGTACATAAATAAACTATTCCGACCAAATCGCGATCGACTTTCGATACTACATCACTATTTTCATCTTTTCTCTCAAATATATCTAATGACAATTTTTAGTTCGATTCCTAGATGACTTTGTAGAGAATTTCAAGCGGCATCTTTTGATTAAAAACAAACAGATGTCTCGATCAAATGAAGAACGACTAGACTTATTTATTCTGCAGGATCCATGATTTTTAAAAGAAATTAAACTTGAATAATAATTATTCTTTTCTTTAGACATCAATGAATGTCTTTCAAGTCCATGTCCAGATACGATGAAATGTGAAAATACACCAGGTTCTTATCAATGCATTGAAGGATGTGAATCTGGTTATATATGGTCACTTAAATATGGAGAATGTCGAGGTAAGATTATTTTTCTTTCTTTCTTTTTTTTTTTTTTTTTGGAATAAAATTATTTTTCTTTGTGATTTTGCATTTGCAGATATTGATGAATGTGCACTTCATAAACATAATTGTACTCATGGACAGCGATGTGAAAACATGCCTGGATCATTTCGGTAATAAAAATTGTTGGAAAGAATAAATTTATTTATCTAGATTTTTATTAATAGATGTATACGTGAAAGAAATTGTGGTACGGGTTATCAAGTTGATCCTCAAACACAAACTTGCATGGGTAAAAAAGAGAAATTTTCTTGTTGTCTTTGTTTTTCGTACAGTATTCGTTTTTCTTTCCAGATATTGATGAGTGTGAACAAGGCATTGATGAGTGTAGGCAAGTGATTAAATTTTTGCTTTTTGGAAAAAAATGTTTGATTGTGAATTTTTATTTTGTAGACCTGGTTATATTTGTAAAAATGTACCTGGAACGTACAAGTAATTATTATTTGAAAAGATTTTATTTTTTCTAGTGTTTGCTTTTTGTTATTTTTATAGATGTCGACCACAAAATTGTACACTAGGTGAAAAATTCAATGCTTTTCTTGGTCGTTGTGAAAAAATTCAATGTCAACCAGGTTACAATGTAACTTCATTTGGAAAATGTATTGGTAAGATGAACACATATTTGAAATGAAAGTCACTTCGATTCGGTTCAAAAAAAAAAAACATGAATCGATTTCATCTCGGATACATACAAGGGCTCAAAAAAATGATTATATATATTTAATTTCGATTTTTTTCCATAATAGTAGCTTGTATAGAGAAAACTGTTTCCAATAAGAATTTGAGGGAAATAAAATCCAGGATCTCTAGAAAACTCAAAATCTACTTTTCACTATTTATTCTAGAACAAACAAGATTTTTGTGCTTTTCCTAAAAGCTTTATATTGAGGTCAAGTATTCTACTATAATTCATAGACATATTGAGACCTCTGCGTTTTTTATAACGCCTTATTCTTACATTGCTTTCATGTCAAAACATACATTACTTTTTAATTGGTTCAGCATACTCGGAAGACTATACCTTTTGAGTATATGCATGGTAGAACCTAAGAGTTTTAGATGGGATAGTTCACAATAGGCTTCATGAATTTCAACCGAGGACAGTCATGTTACCTGTTCAAGTTGTCTTTCAGTTGCTGTTCAAGTGATAATTGAAGATGGTTCTCACAACGCAAACGAATTAATAGAAGATATTTGAAACATAATTTTCCCAGAAATTATTTCTATTGATTTGGGATTTGTTAGACAGAAGTTAGCCGGTCAATTGTTGCCAAACATAAGTTTTCAAACTGCATTATAACATGAATAAAAGCATGGTCTTCAGGATCTCAATTTTCACTATGAAAACGCAAGACCATATACATGATGAACTCCAAAGAGTTGGATACACAAAATCCTATTAAAGTATATGTTGATCGAACATATTTCACAGACCTACAGGTATGTAATTCTGTTGTGCTTGTAAAACTGAAATATCACCTACAAAAAATAAGATTCAACAACAGCGATACTATGTTATACATGCTTTAAGGAGCCATTTTCCAAAAATAATCTCAAACTCTATCTCGATGATTAATGTTAATGCATTATTGATGAGAAGTGATATTTTGAAAAAGAGTACTAATGCCAGCTAGAGTAGAAATTTTCATAGTGCTCTCCTGTATGCCTGTTTATTTTTGGTAATATTGTTTTTTTTATCTATTAGATATAAATGAATGTGCGCAAACACCAAGTCCGTGTAAAACAACTGAAAGATGTGATAATACAATGGGTTCATATAGATGTGTTCAAACATTTCGTTGTGCAAGTGGACTTGAAATGAAAGATCTTAAATGTTTAGGTAATTAGAATAAATTTTTCTTTTTGGTATAGA